TATAACAAAGTGGAAGCAACTGGAAACAGAAGCAACTCAGCCACAAAGTGGTAGGCCATATAAAATGACAGAGTGGGGTCAGCACATGCTGAAGAGCACAGTGCGCAGAAGTCGCCAACTCTCTCTCAAAGAGTCAACAGCTAAAGACCTCCAAACTTTGTGTTGCCCTCAGATTAGCACAACAGTGCGTAGAGAGTTTCATGGAATGTGTTTCCATGGCCAAGCAGCTGCATCCGAGCCTTACATCACTAAGTGAAATGCAAAGCGTTGGATGCAGTGGTGTAAAGCATGCTGCCACTGGATTCTACAGCAGTGGATACATGTCCTCTGGAGTGACCAATCACGCTTCTCTGGCACTACGATGGACGTGTCTGGGTTTGACAGTTGCCAGGAGAATGTTACTTGCCTGAATGCATTGTGCCAAGTGTAAAGTTTGGTGGAGGGGGGATTATAGGGCGGGGTTGTATTTCAGGGGTTGGGCTCGGCCCCTTAGTTCCAGTGATGGGAACTCTTAATGCGTCAGCATACCAAGACATTTTGGACAATTTCATGCTCCTAACTTTATGGGAACAGTTTGGGGATGGTCCCTTCCTGTTCCAACATGACTGCGTAACAGTGCACAAAGCAAGGTCCATAAAAATATGGGATGAGCAAGTTTGGGGTGGAGGAACTTGACTGTCCTGCAGAGAGTCCCGACCTCAACCAGATAGAACATTTTTGGGATGAATTAGAGTGGGAGACTGTGAGGCAGGCCTTCTCATCTGACATCAGTGCCTGATCTCACAAATGCGCTTCTGAAAGAATAGTCAAATATTCCCATAGACACACTCCTAAACCTTGTGGACAGCCTTCCCAGAAGAGTTGGAGCTGTTATGGCTGCAAAGGGTGGGCCAACTCAATACTGAACCCTACGGACTAAGACTGGGATGCCATTAAAGTTCATGTGCATGTAAAGGCAGGCATCCCAATACTTACACACACACACACACACACACGTGTATGACAAGAGACAATACATAGACATTCTGTGGTCAAATATCTCAACAACAGAGTTCAGAAAAAAGGGGATGGAGAGCTGAAGTTACACACTCTTCAGAGCTCAGTGAGGAGAGCTCTGACAGCTGACTGGAAAGGACACACTCCCTTCACATAGCACACAGGAAATGAGGCTGTCAATCAGCTGGAGATCCCTCCCGTCGCCTTTTTTCTCTTGGTGTCAGGAAAACCTGTCAGAAGCGACTCCTGCTGATAGCAGAGGAACCAGGCAGCAGACAGAAAAGACAATTCGCACTCTTAAAGTAGTTGTAAAGCCTCAAGCTTTTTTACCTTCAAGCATTCTATGCATGAGAGTAAAAAATCTTCTGTGTGCAGGAGTGCCCTCAGCCCCCTCAATACTTACCTGAGCCCCATTGAGATCCAGTAATGTGGATGACAGCTTCGGCTGTCCCGGGTCTCTGCCTCCTCATTGGCTGAGACAGCAAGTGGGAGCCATTGGCTCCCGCTGCTGTCAATCACAACCAGTCAGCCAATGAGGAGAGAGGGGGCAGAGCCAAGAAGCTGCTCTGTGTGTGTCAATAGACACATGGAGCAGCGGGTGCCCCCACAGTAAGCTGCTTGCTGTAGGGGCACCTGACAGAAAAGAGGTGCCAGGAAAGCCTGTGGGGGACCAGGGAAGAGAAGGATCCAGGCTGCTCGGTGCAAAACCACTATACACAGCAGGTAAGTATAGACATGTTTGTTATTTTACAAAAAAAAAAATAGAATCTTTAGTATCGCTTTAACCACTCCTGAGGATTTACCTCCTGACCAGGCCATTTTTTGCATTACAGTGCTGAGTTATTTTAACTGACAATTGCACGGTCATGCAACGCTGAACCCAAATGAAATATATGTACTTTTTTCCCCACAAATTGAGCTTTCTTTCGATGGTATTTGATCGCCTGCTATGAAAAAAAAAAGACTGACAATTTTGAGAAACAAAAAAAATATATATATATTTTTGACTTTTTGCTATTAAATATGTCCAGTAAAAAAAAAATTTAAAAAATCAAATTGTCATAAATTTAGGCCAAAATATATTCTGCTACATGTCTTTGCTAAAAAACAAAACAAAAAAAAAAAACGAAAAAGAAAAAAAAAAATCACAATATGTGTAAATTAATTGGTTTAAATGAAAGTTACAGCGTTTACAAGTGGCGGTATAGATACTGGAATTTTTTTTTTTTTTTACTAGTAATGGCGGCGCAACCCCTACCCAGAAATGCAAAATTACGTATATATACACACACACACATGATTTTGCGCACCCCTGCCACCCTGTAGCAGTATATCTGCTATAGGGAGGTGGGAAACCGGTTAAAGAATATATAAACCTAACATTTCATATTTCTACTAAGTTGCTTGCTGTACCATGTACCTGTATGAAAAAGTATCCTGGTTTCTTTGTATTGCTTTCATTGTGTGAAATTCCTGGTGTTCCTGCCAGTCCCTCTGCTTTCCTATTAAAAACTGATCACGACAGACAGATAGACACAGACACGTTCAGTGTATTGCTATTTTCCTCCTGCCCATGGTATGCTCATTTCTATTTGCTGAATTGGTTGTTTTACAAGGTGAGATCTACAGACTAATTGAGGTATGAATACGCTTTTTTTATTTCATGTCTGAGGTTTACAAACACTTCAACCAAACTTATACCCCTTTTGCCCAGGTCAATTTTCAGCTTTTTCGCACACAAACGGCAACAGAGAAATTTTTATCATTTTTTTAGGTGGTATTTAATCGCCACTGGGTGTTTTATTTTTTGCTCCATAAACAAAAAAAGAGTAAAACATTTGAAAAAAAATAAGTTTTTTTTGTTTCTATTCTAAAAGTTTGCAAACAGGTAATTTTGCTCCTTCACTGATGTGCATTGATGCTGCTGCACTGATAGGAAACACTGATGGGCAAGGATAGGCAGCAGTGATGGGCACTGATAGGCAGCACTGATGAGCTGCCACTGATAGGCAGCACTGCCGTAGGTCACAGTGATCACCGTCAGCGCCGGGTGTGCATCGATGGGGGCGTGTTCTGGAATGACATCCATGGACGTCATCCCAGAACTAGACAACCGCCTTGTAGCCTTCTTTTGGCTATAGTGCGGTAGGGAAGAGGTTAACCCACATAAGTTTTTGCTGGGGTGAATAAAACCGTAATAGAAGAACTAAAATATTGACCTTTCCTGAAGAAAAGGCTGCTTTAAGCACTCAACCACAGACTGGTTGGCTCGCTCTTTGAGAAGATCAGACAGTACAGTAAATGCTTAAAGCTTTTGTCACAACTGGCACATGAGGGAGCCTAGAGCAGCACTGTTCCAAGAAAGGAAACTACCCATGAGGTGGTTGTCAACACAGCAAAGTTAACATTTGGTATAGATAAGCTTGAAATGTTCTGCAAGAAGACCTACCTTTAAACTGTTTAATCATGTTTTGGTGATTCTCAATTGCTTGTTCTAGTATCATCTCTGGCTGGTCCATTTTCCATCTCCACTCAGTTCCGACTGGATTAGTATGGTGCCTGAGAAACAAACATATTTGTTAGATTATGGGTTAGAACAAAACTTTAACAAGCAAAAGATAGCTACTACTTCCAAGATATATGTTTTCTCAAAACAAGACGTAACAGAGATGAAAGAAATCTCTATAAATATTGGGGGAATTGCCATTTAGACAGTTGTCACCTACACAGATATCCCCATTGGAAGATTGTCCCATGCTTTCTGCTTTGGTGACAACTCTAAAATTTTAGACAGCAATAAAAATATGACAGTGGTTGTAAGCACTCTATTCAGAAGAAGAAGAAAACAGTTCGGGCTATACATACACTTTAAAGCAAAACTCCAGCTAAAACCAAGATAAAATCTGAATAGCCCAATAAAGCTAAAAATAAAAACTTTTTATTTAACATTCTAGAGATGTCCCCTCTATTTTTATTCTGCCATTAAAGTGTCAGGACAAAAGAGAGGATGAATATCTTGGGGGGGGCACAGATCGCAAAAAAAAAAAACCTGACAGAATTTTAATCCCTCTCCACTCTATCCAAAAAAAAAAAAAAAAAGGACACTTTAAAATGTTCAGTCTGATCATGCAATCTGTTGCAGCTTACCAATCATTAGATGTGTTGGCTGCATTTGTTTGTTTTAGGCTTTTTTTCCCCTGTTTTCACCTGGTGATCTGGTCAGTAACACACCTCATGCATTTAAAATTGTGTGATTTGTGTGTGCAATTTCAGGTGCGATTTCTAAAGACTTTATTGCTACTTGTGAAGATTTCCAACGGTTTCTTGAAATTTGCAGTGCGATTTCCATGTGATATGTACCGTATTTTTCACTCCATAAGACGCACCTGACCATAAGACGCACCTAGGTTTTAGAGGTGAAAAACAAGAAAAAAAAATATTCTGAACCAATGGACTGCAGACACAGTGCAGGAGATGACCAGAGACTGCGGACAGTACAGGGGATGACCAGAGACTGCGGACACAGTGGAAACCAGAGAGTACAGTGCGGGGATGACCAGAGACTGCAGACACAGTGCGGGAGATGACCAGAGACTGCGGACACAGTGCAGGAGACGACCAGAGACTGCGGACACAGTGCGGGAGACGACCAGAGACTGTGGACACAGTGCAGGAGACGACCAGAGACTGCGGACACAGTGCAGGAGACAGACCAGACCAGAGACTGCGGACACAGTGCAGGAGACGACCAGAGACTGCGGACACAGTGAGAGACCAGAGACGACCAGATGACCAGAGACTGCGGACAGTGCAGGAGATGACCAGGGAATGACCAGAGACTGCGGACAGTGCAGGGGATGACAGTGCAGTACAGGGAATGACCAGAGACTGCAGACAGTGCAGGGAATGACCAGAGACTGCAGACAGTGCAGGGGATAACCAGAGACTGCAGACAGTGCAGGGGATGACCAGAGACTGCAGACAGTGCGGACAGTACAGGGAATGACCAGAGACTGCGGACAGTGCAGGGAATGACCAGAGACTGCGGACAGTACTGCAGACAGTGCAGGGAATGACCAGAGACTGCGGAGACAGTGCAGGGAATGACCAGAGAGACTGCAGACAGTACAGGGAATGACAGGGGAATGACCAGAGACTGTGGAGACAGTGCAGGGAATGACCAGAGACTGCAGACAGTGCAGGGAATGACCAGAGACTGCAGACAGTGCAGGGAATGACCAGAGACTGCAGACAGTGCAGGGAATGACCAGAGACTGCAGACAGTGCAGGGAATGACCAGAGACTGCAGACAGTGCAGGGAATGACCAGAGACTGCAGACAGTGCAGGGAATGACCAGAGACTGCAGACAGTGCAGGGAATGACCAGAGACTGCAGACAGTGCAGGGAATGACCAGAGACTGCAGACAGTGCAGGGAATGACCAGAGACTGCAGACAGTGCAGGGAATGACCAGAGACTGCAGACAGTGCAGGGAATGACCAGAGACTGCAGACAGTGCAGGGAATGACCAGAGACTGCAGACAGTGCAGGGATGACCAGAGACTGCAGACAGTGCAGGGAATGACCAGAGACTGCAGACAGTGCAGGGAATGACCAGAGACTGCAGACAGTGCAGGGAATGACCAGAGACTGCAGACAGTGCAGGGAATGACCAGAGACTGCAGACAGTGCAGGGAATGACCAGAGACTGCAGACAGTGCAGGGAATGACCAGAGACTGCAGACAGTGCAGGGAATGGACCAGAGACTGCAGACAGTGCAGGGAATGACCAGAGAGACTGCAGACAGTGCAGGTAATGACCAGAGACTGCAGACAGTGCAGGGAATGACCAGAGACTGCAGACAGTGAAGGGAATGACCAGAGACTGCAGACAGTGCAGGGAATGACCAGAGACTGCAGACAGTGAAGGGAATGACCAGAGACTGCTGACCTTTGGGGAGGGAGGGGGAGCGGGTACCTGAATTTGACAGGTACCCGTTCCCACTTCCGCGGAGTTGCCTTCCCTCTTCTTCCCGGGCCGGCTTCTGTGACAGCCGGGTACCCACTGCGCATGTGCGAGAAGCGCTGCGCTTTGTGAATGGCCCGGCGCCTTCTGGGATCTTTCATGTGTCCCAGAAGACACTGGATCATTCACAAAGCGCAGCACATGCGCAGTGGGCACCTGGCTGTCACAGAAGCCAGCGCGGGAAGACTGTGCAGTGCTGGAGCGAGGAACAGGTAAGGCCCTGCAGGAGAGAACAGCTGAGCGGCCGGCCGGCTCGGTAATCTGAAATGGTGGCCGCAAAATACCGGACCGGCTGCTTTATATTCGCTCCATAAGACGCACTGACATTTTCCCCCCTTTTTGGGGGGGAAAAAAGTGCGTCTTATGGAGCAAAAAATACGGTATGTGAAATTGCAACAAAAAACTGCAGAAAAAGTAATGCAAGAACTACTTTAGAAATCGCGCTGCAGCAAATCACGTATGTTAAGACACTGACATTCACATTCATTAGATGCGACTTCAGGTGCGATTTCAATTTGCACCTGGAGTCACACCAGTACGACCAGGCACTAGGAGGAGAAGCAGTACAGTGATGATCTGCATCTCTGTTCAGTCACCATACCTTTTGTCAGCACATGAACTGATTGTTCAAGTGTGTGTAAGCTGCCCTGGGGGTGTAGCATGGACAAGAGATGGTTCATTCATGTCATGGCTGGGCAAGATACCTGCTAATGCAGTTTTGTATTTGGACTTTTATTTGCTGAAGCATGAACACTATGCCGCTGAAGTAAGCCAGTTAGTGTTGGGTTTATGGCTTTATTATGCTGCTATAAAAAAACGATGCTCATGTTTTTTTTATGAGACAAGTCTGTTAAGTCACAATTTTAGTGTAATCTTAGCCAATATCACAAAAATTAATTATCTATACAGATAGTTTTGAAGTTTTCAACAATGCCATTAAATACTTAGCAAACCCTGCATTTGTTCACCTGTGGCTTTGTTGACTAGAGGACATATACTGTAGATAATTGGAATGTTTTTTCTAATTGTTGAACTTAACGAGTAAGCAGCTTGCTAAAAAAAAAAAAAAAAAAAAAGGGGGGGGGGATATGAGGGGGGGGGGGGGTTTCGGGAGGGGAGAAGTGGGGGGGGGAGAGGGGGGGAGGGTGGAGGGGGGGGATGAGAGGGGGGGAGGAGGGGGGGGGGGGAGGGAGGGGGGGAGGGGATGAGAGGGGGGGAGGAGAGGTGGGGAGGAGAGAGGGGAGGAGAGGGGAGGAGGGGAGGAGAGGAGAGGGGAGGGAGGGAGAGGGGGGGAGGGGGGGAGGAGGAGATGGAGAGGAGAGATAACGCAAAACATCCTTTTTATGTAAAGTTCTGCTTTAAAGTAGTACTAGAAGAAAGCTTTTTATCATTTTGAATAGAGTAGAGTAAAGAAGTTATAACTCGTCAGTTTTTTTTTTTTGTATCTGGGGAAATTTCCCTTCCCTTCCTGTCCCACAGCCAGAACAGGAAGTGAGAGGAAATTCATCCAAAGTGAAAGAATCCCTTGTTCCCGTTGTCACTAAAACTAGTGTACCCATTGAAAGGTTTCCCCTCTGTTCCTGTTCTGCCGACAACCCAAAAGTTAGGATCTTCTTTCACTTTCACTCTTCGTAAACAGGAACTGGAACAGTAAACAGGAGAATAGAGTGTGCCTCTTCTTACAGGGGCACAATTCTCCTCCACTATATCCAAATCTTAAAGACCCTTTAGTTCTACTTTAACCACATGCCGCCCAGCCACTGTAGAAATATAGCGGCAGAGCGGCACGGCTGGGCAAAACCACGTTTTAAAACGTGTGTTTGCAAAACAGGTAGAGGGCGCATGCGAGGCGTGCCACCGCCCTACCTGTCTCGCCGATCAAAACAGGTAGAGGGCGCACGCGAGGCGTGCCACCGCCCTACCTGTCCCGCCGATCAAGGCCGCGGAGGTCGTTACCGGCTGTGTCCCACCGATTAGCAGCAATCACTGACAGAGAGCAGGGCTGCAGTAGCTCTGCTTTCTGTCAGTTCCCTGTCAGCTCCTGACATGCTCAGCCGGAGAGAAAAGTTTATCTCTCCCGATCAGCATGTCCCCCCCCCCCCCCCCCCCGTGCAGTACACACCCCCTAGTAAAACACTCCCCTCACACAGTTAACCTTTTCAGTAAATAAAAAAGTTAACCCCTTCCTCCCCAGTGCCATTAGTACAATGTCAGTGGTTTTTTTTTTTTTGCACTGATTACTGTATTGGTGATTTTGCACTGATCACTGAATTTCTCAAAATTGTCAGGCTCTTTTTTTTATAGTGCAAAAAATAAACGCACAGGCAATCAAATACCACCGAAAGAAAGCTCTATTTGTGTGGAAAAAAAAAAAGGACATAAATTTAATTTATGTACCGTATTGCATGACCACGCAATTGTCTGTTAAACTAACACAGCGCTGTATAGCAAAAAAATGGCATAAATTGCAGTATCTATACCATAGTATGTAGACGCTATAACTGTCACACAAAGCAATCAATATACAGTTATTGGGATTTTTTTTTTTTTTTTTTTTTTTTTTTTACAAAAACATGTAGCAGAATACATGTTGGCCTAAATTTATATAACTAACTTTGAGTTTACTATATATTTTTTATAGCTGAAAGTAAAAAATATCGTTTTTCTTCAAAATTTTTGGTCTTTTTTTGTTTATAGTGTGAAAAATAAAAAGCACACAGGTGATCAAATACCACTGAAAGAAAGCTCTATTTGTGTGAAAAAAAGGACATAAATTTCGTTGGGCTACAGCATTGCATGACCGCGCAATTATCAGTTGAATTAGTGCAGCGCCGAGTAGCAAAAAGAGGCCTGGTCATTAAGGGGGGGTAAATCCTCTAGAGCAGGGGTGGCGAACAAGTTAGACACAAAGAGCCAAAATTTTAAACTGTGAATGTCAGAGAGCCACACCACGCAGTGACCTGCCAAAACAGACAAACACTCACACAAAAACACATAATTAAAACCATATTATTCACCATAACACTTTCTTACCCTTACAAAACAACAATGTGTTCATTTCAAGGTAAGTGTCCACCCTCAACACACACATCAAATGAGACTGCGGACAGCACAGGGATGACCAGAGACTGCGGACAGCACAGGGATGACCAGAGACTGCGGACAGCACAGGGATGACCAGAGACTGCGGACAGCACAGGGATGACCAGAGACTGCGGACAGCACAGGGATGACCAGAGACTGCGGACAGCACAGGGATGACCAGAGACTGCAGACAGCACAGGGATGACCAGAGACTGCAGACAGCACAGGGATGACCAGAGACTGCAGACAGCACAGGGATGACCAGAACTGCAGACAGCACAGGGATGACCGACTGCAGACAGCACAGGGATGACCAGAGACTGCAGACAGCACAGGGATGACCAGAGACTGCGGACAGTACAGGGAGCTGACCTTTGGGGAGGTGGGGAGCGGGTACCTGTCAAATTTGACAGGTACCCGTTCTTACTTCCGCAGAGTTTTTGTTTGATCTTACCTGTCCCTCGATCGAGCCGCGCGCTGTCTTCCCGGCTTCTGTAATGGCGCTCGGCATGACAGCCGGGTGCCCAGTGCGCATGAGTGAGAAGCACTTGCGCTTTGTGATTGGTCCGGCGGGTTCTGGGATCTGTCATGTGTCCCAGGTACCGCCTTACCATTCACAAAAAGCACCGCTTCTTGCAAAACTTGGCAAAGAGCCACAGTATACAAAATATGATAAGAGGCAAAGAGCCGCATTCATTTTGGCCGGGAGCCGCACGCGGCTCGAGAGCCGCGTGTTCGCCACCCCTGCTCTAGAGGGCAAGTGGTTAATGTATCCTTGTAGAGACCAAATTTTGATATAGAAAGAAGTGATTTTCATAAAATCAGCAACTCAGCAGATTTTGTCTTTAATTTTTGGGTAACAATACAATGGTTCCATTGAATGTAAATTATATCCAAACCCAATAAAGAATTATTTACTGCAGTCTACCTGTCCTTAAATGAGGTATTCATTAGGTTATTTGTTTCTGGGTGGCTACACTCATCCATCTACTGTATCTTTAGAGGAAAAACATGGTTGTCAAGCAGGCTGGATTTTAAACATGCTCATCTCCATTTCATATGGAATAATGGGATTAGGAGTTTACAGAAAAACAAAACTGTCTCTATAGTGTATGTCAGAACAGAGAAGTCAGCTCAGTGTCAGGACTGCCTAAGATCAGGGCTGTAACTAACATGATGGATGACAAAAGTCTTTATTTTGGCAGTCTGAGTTCCTGATATCCGCATTGAGCTCATCCAAGAGTTAAATATAGCCTAACAGCTTTATATGTCTGCTTTTACAGGCAGGGATTACATAGAATTAAAAAAAAAAAAAAGTAGTACTTTGTCCCTTCTTCCCATGGACTGTCAAGGGCTAGCAATGAGGTGAGACAGGGCCCCTCCTAAGCTCATAACACAGCAAGGAGACAAACAGCACTTTTTGCCATTTCCAAGAACTTTCCCAAGACACAAATCTCACACAGAATGCAAAGCAGTGTGCAGGAGTTGACAGGGGAGAGAACTGTTTTGTTTACAAACAGTTCTCCCCCCAGTCGGAGATGCTCGGCAATCAACGGGCGCTGGCAAGTAATCACTGCCCGGGACCCAGTGATCGACAGCCGCGAATGGCAGCGTGGGTAGGGCGTGCGCTCCTTACCCACAAATGCTAAGTCACGTGTATATACACATGATTTTGCACCCGTGCCGACCTGTAGTAGTACTCCTGCTATAGGGCAGACGGAAAGCGGTTAAAAAAAGTGAAATGTTTTGCTAAGCATATATAGTGCATCCAGAAAGTATTCACAGCGCTTAACTTTTGCCACATTTTGTTATGTTACAGCCTTATTCCAAAATGGTTTAAATTCATTTTTTCCTCAACATTCTACAAACAATACCCCATAATGACAACGTGAAAGAAGTTAGTTTTGAAATCTTTGCAATTTATTAAAAAAAAAAAAAGGAAAAAAAAAAAACACATGTACATAAGTATTCACAGCCTTTGCCATGACACTCAAAATTGAGCTCTGGTGCATACTGTTCCCACTGATCATCCTTGAGATGTTTC